ACAATATATTTAAAGCTTTCCCCTAAAGAATACTGGTAACTTAATGGTGTTCGTAAAGGTGTCTGGAATTTAGACCTATGAGGTTGAAACTACTGTTTCCAGAATTCCTTTCAGAAAGCCATATAATAGCTACAAAGGAGCTTTAAATGTTTAGTGCAGATGTGACCTCAGTCTCGGCGTCCATCTCTTGGGCATCGCAGGAGCCACCCAGAGGCCACATCCCCCCTGAATCTCTCAATACACACACATAATCCATGCTTTGGGTGGGTTCTTGAGTCTTTTAAGTGGCTAAAATACATTGCCTCAGGTTTTGGGTCCATTCTTTGTGTAGATTCCATGTGATAGTTGTATATATATATAATAAAGTTGCTTTATTGTAATCAGTTAGGCTATGAAAATTGCTCTTGGGAGAATCTAGAGAAAACTCAGTTCTTTCCTTGGCCAGAGCAAAGTCAACCAGCACCTTTCTCTCTTGACATTGGGAATTTCTCTTGGCACCCCAATAAATGTGAGGGCTCTTCTGTTCATCCGGCTGAATTAACCATGTTGGGGATAATTTAGGCTCTTGAAACCAAAGAGAAGGATTGACCCAAGGAAGGAAGGGAAGTTTGAAAGGCTTCAGAGGCTTCCCCGTTGGAAATGTAAAATTGGCACAGTAGCTGCTTCTACTTTTTAGATTTGTTTTGAGACTACCGATCCTGAATAATAAAGTTGTGTAAATATTATGCTTTGTGCTGTTCTGTTTTCACTGGCTCCTCAGAACAAAAATGGATGCAGCTTTCCAGGTTAGATTGCACTTTCCAGCAGACTCAGCACACATTCACACCATAATAATTAATAAAAATAATTTTAATAATAATTTATTATTTATATCCCGCCCATATGGCTGGGTTTCCCATGCAGTGGAAGCAATGTGATACTGCTTTAAACAGTCATGGCTTCCCCCAAGGAATTCTGGGAGCTAAAGGTTAAAGGTGCTGAGATGGGTTAGGGGAGACCTGCTATTCTCCTCACAATGTCACAGCTTCCAGCATTACTGTGGGAGAGGAACTGATGGTTAAACCACTTTGCCTAGATGCTCAAAGAACCCTAAAAGATTGGTGAATTGCAGAAGCCAAACTGGATTTTATTCAGCAAGACTTGGTCTTCTGTATATATGAAGACTTTATCAACCATAAATCAGTGGCCACACCTGTAACTGAACTATGACAGACAGAATGCGAAAGCTTCCCCATAGTTCTATTTCCCTTTGAGAAATAGCTTGACCTGTTGAAATTCTGCCTGCTACACAGCTGTTAAAGGCACAAGAATCAGAATAAGTACACTCAAAGGAAGGGAGAAGCAGCTTTTGAGGCCTCGGGGGATTCCTATTGCCTGGTATCTAAACCACTCACAAATCACTCACAGCTCTGCATTCACTCATTGGCTGAAAGGCTGGTGCCTAAAAATAAGGAAGGAAGGCACCAGGAGAACCAACCTGGGAAGAGCGTTGCAGGAGTGAGGAGGCACCTCAGGAAAGGCCTCTTCTCATGTTGCCAGGCTCCCGGCCTCTTGTGTCAGAGGCACACGGAGCAGGAGGAGTCTTTTTTTAAGAAAGCTACAAAGGTTGATGTTATTATGTTGACAATATGTGAAACCAAGCCACAATTTAAAAACAAAAGGAGAAAACTATAAATCAAAGTGCAAGAGGGAAAAAGAGGGCATTTCTTTTTCTCTCTCTGCTGTTTAATTTCTCTTTTCAGATCACACTTCTGCCCTGCCACACTATGTTTTTCTGTGAACTCCAGTTCCCAGCAGCCATTGCACTTCCCACATAAACGATCAACACCTGGATCCATTTAGCTGAGCAAACACCCAAGTGGGAGAGTGAAGGGGCTTGAGATGAAGAAGGAAAGTCTGTGAATTCACCACTGCCTGTCTGAAGGGGTGAGCTGGAGCCTACCAAGAACTCAAAATAAGACATGCTGAGATTGAGTAGAAATTTCTGAACTGGGGGTCCCTGTTTTCCCCCTCTTTCATCTCCTTTGTGGCATTTGAAATGCAGACTTGATATCACAAGGGGCTTCTGCTCTGGGCCATGAGTGTAGACCTTCCTTAAGCCTAAGGGGACCTGGGTGAGTCAAAGGATGACAGCCCTTTGGAAGAATGAGAAAGTGAAAACAAGGGATTTCTCATTGTGTAGGAGGAGGAATGTGGGTAGCAAGGAAGGGTGCAAGAGAGAGATTTCTTCCCCTGGGAAGTTGAGATAGGGTGGGGTCCGGAAGGCAGCCTCTTGCCTTTTGTGTTTTTATTAGTTTTTCAATTAGATACTCCACATACACATACACATACACATACACATACACATATTGTACTACATTTTACATTTATACTTGCTCTTCAAAGCTGACTTGCCTCCTCCTTTCTTCTGGTTTTTTATATCACATATAATTTTATCACATTATTTTCTTCCATTTTATATATTATCATTTTCCATATTTGAGCATAGAGTATCCATAAACAAATAAGTCCTCAGGGGTTTATACAATTCTGTATGAACAATTCTGTTGTCTGTAATTTACCACTACTGTTAGTTATATTAGCTTCCTTATACATTTTGCTTCTTATTATTTTCATTATCCATCACTTTTCTTAATCTTTCCCGTTATTAGGTTTGTTTCCAATTCTACTAGTTTTACTATTTGATCTTTTCTTTCCTTTATACAACATAAATTTTTCCAATTCTTTTTGAAATGTTTCCTCATCCTGTTGTTGAATTTTCCGTTAGTTTGGCTATTTCTGCATATTCCACTACCTTCTGTCTCCATTCTTCTACTGTTGGTAATTGCTGCTGTTTCCAAACCTACACTAACAGTAACTTTGCCGCTTTTGTTGCATATAAAAACAGTTTCTGGTCGTTCTTAATCAGATCTTCTCCTACTATTCCTAACAAGAATGCCTCTGGCTTTTTCAAAAACATATATCTAAAGATCTTTAGCTCATTGTATATATTTTCCCAGTACGTTTTTATCTTATCACATGACCACCGCATGTGAAAGAAATTACCTTCTTTCACCCCACATTTCCAGCAATTCTTCTTTCCTGTTTTGTACATCCTTAACAGATTCACTCTAACACTCCAATTAGAGTGAGGTACCATCTGTACATCATTTTAAACAGATTTTCTTTTAACAAAGTACATGCTGTGAATTTTAGCCCAGTTCCATAGTTTTATACATTTCTCATATTCAATGTTATGGCCAACATCCATTGCCCATTTAATCACAATGCTCTTGATTTCTTCGTCTTTTGTGTACCATTCTAATAAAAACTCACAGACCTTTGACAATATTTTTGTGTTTTGTAATACTGCAGTTTCTAATATTGATTTGGTTTGTTCGAAACCTCTTGCTCTTTTATCTTTTGAGAAAATGTCATTCATTTGGCGATACTCCATCCAACCTGATAATTTATCTTTTAGTTTCTCTTTATTACATTATTTTCTTCTATCAGTATGTCTCTGTACGTTAGCCATTCTCCTTTCATATTTGATTTTTTCACTGAGAAGGCTTCTTGGGGTGACAGCCACCATGGTGTTTTCCTTTCAAACCACTCTTTATATCTCTTCCAAACTTCATACAATGATCTTTTTATAATATGATCTACAAAGTCTCGGTGTACTCCATCCTTGTCATACCAAAGGTACGCGTGCCACCTGTATCTATTTCCAAACCCCTCTAGATCTAATATGTCTGTGTTCTTCAAACTAAGCCATTCTTTTAACCATGTTATACAAGCGGCTTCATAATATATTTTAAGATCTGGTAACGAGAAGCCTCCTCTTTCCTTTTTATCCATCAGAAGTTAAAACTTTATTCTAGGTTTCTTCCCTTGCCATACAAACCTAGAAATTGTTTTTTGCTACTCATTGAATTGACCGAATCCGGTAACAATAGGCACAGTTTGGAATTAAAAAAAGCATCTTAGGTAAGACACTCATATTGACAGCTGCTATCCTTCCCCCGAAGGACACTTTCAATCTGTCCCATATTTCCAAATTTGTCTTTATTTCTTTCCATGTTGTTTTATAATTGTCCTTGAATAGGTTTGTGTTTTTTGGGGAGAGCCAGACCCTCAAATATTTTCTTTACCACTGTTATTTCCGTTTTACTTTGCAGGTGATCTGTTTGTTCCACGTTCATGTTTTTCACCATCATTTTTATTTTACCCTTATGAATTTTCAATCCTGCCAACATTCCAAATTCTTCAATTACTTTTAATGCTTCCGCTGTCAAAGTTAAAGGTTCCTGTACTGTCAAGACTATATGGTCGGCGAAGGCTTTAACCTTATATTCTTTTTCGCCACTCTTTATCCCTGTAATTCTTTCTGTCTCTCTTATATTTAAATTTTTCACTAAGGGGGAGCTTGTTTAAGGCAGACCTGCAGCCCAGAGTCTACAACAGAAAGGAAACAGGGACAGGATGTGTATTAGGGCTTCTGCAGGTGGAGGTTGCTACATTTCCTGGAGCAAAGATCAAAAGAGTCTTAGGAGGGAGGAAGGCAGCTCAGTGGTAGAGTGCCTCCCTTACATTGCAAAAGGCGGCACGTTCAATCCCCAGTATCTCCATGTAGGGCTTGGGAGAGGCTTCCTGTATGAAACCCTGGAGAGCAGCTTCCAGTCAGTGTAGACAGTACTGAGCTAAGTGGCCAAAGTTACTATTCTCTTGTGTACGTGACGAACATGAAGGAAAAGATTCATTTGGGAGCTATTTTCCTAAAACAGTAAGATGGAGAGTATCTAGTGTACATATGGGACACACAATGTATCCTTTGAAGGCTGAACTGAACAGGATACTTCTTATGCTTGTAATTCTCTGTATTTCCTGTTTCTCAAGATACCTTGTTTCAAACAATCTACTTTCCTAAATAGGCAAAGGGAAAGTGGCAGCCAGTAAATGAAGCAGAAGACGCCCGTGCCTAAGAAGAAGTTTGCAAGGAACCCAGTTGGACCACAGCCAGGATGATGATGTTTGATACTTGCAAGGAGCCAGACCTGTGCATTGTCTATGGGGAACCCATCAGGCAAAAGCCCATCATCCACAAGAGAACGGGGGGTCAGCAGGAAGCCCACCCAGTTGATGAGGAGGATGAACCCCTTTTTCATGGAGGAAGTTGCAGAGCCTCCTGGAAAATCACAGTACAGACAATTCCTGGTGCTGCTAAGGAGCAGGATGTGTGCATTGTGGGTGAGGAGAACATCTGGCACTACCCCAACACCTGCGAGAGAAATATGTGTTTGCAGAAAATCAGCTCAGGGGACTGTCCAGTTTACAGCAAAGGAGACTACAGTGTCCCAAGTAAAACTCCAGCCCAGACCGTTGTTGATGCCACAGCCAGGATGATGATGCTTGATACTTCTAGGAAGCCAGACCTGTGCATTGTCTATGGGGAACCCATCAGGCCTAAGGCCATCATCCATAAGAGAACTGAGGGTCAGCAGGAAGCCCACCCAGTCAAGGTGGAAGAGGAGGTACCCCTTCTTCATGGAGGAAGTTGCAGATCCCCCTGGGAAATCATGTTGGAGACAGTTCCTGGTGCTGCTGAGGAGCAGGATGTGTGCATTGTAGGTGAGGAAAACATCTGGCACAACCCCAACATCTGTGAGAGAAAAGCGTGTTTGCAGGAAACGCTCTCAGTGGAGGGTACCGTTCACAGCAAACTAGATTCCAGTGTCCCCAGTGAACCTCCAGCCCAGACTGTTGGTGATGCTGCTAAAGGACAAGACATCTGCATTGTGTATGACCAAGGTGTCCTACAAAAGCACACAGTCCATATCAGAATTGGGTATCCTGAGGAAACACACCCAGGGGAGGATGTAGTTAAACCTATTGTTGGCGGAGGAGATTGGAAAGGCCCCAAGGAATCCACCTTCCAGCCCGCTGTTGATGCCACCAAGGAGCAAGACGACTCCTATGAGGAAATGGTTAGTCAGAAGCCCATTTTTCAAGGAACAGCCCCCAGTGAAGCCACAGCTCAGAGAGATATGGATACTGGTAAGTAATGGGACTCCCGGGTAATGCATATTGGGGAGGGAAGCCCCAGGCAGAATTCCTCCTTAGCTCGAGGTATTAATGACAAGCACACAGGGCTATTTTTGAGGTCATCCCATGCTACACCAACTTACAGTAGACGCACTAAAAGTAATGGACCGACATACAACCCACTCTATGTAGGTTCTGTTTGCTGGGTAAATTGGACTGCTCTTGAGTTGTATATATTTATATATAAGCCTTGTGCATAAATTTTTCAATTTCGCTTTGTACTTTTTGTTGTTCTGTTTGTTGTTCACAACTACTTTCCCTATGTTCATAGTCTGCTACTTTTGCTGTACTGTCTGCTCTTGAGCATTAGAAAAGTTTCAATGCATCAAGAATTAGAAATCTTGATCTAACCTTGTGATGGACAAACAATAGAGCTATGCTTCCTAAAGCCAATGTAAGCTTCCACCTGCAGACTGAGAAAATATTTGCTCTCGAGAGTAAAATCTCTACAGGTAGAAACTTGCTGGTGAATCTGATGCAATGGCAAAACCAGACTCAGGATATTGAGCAGAGTGGAAAGAAAGGTCACCCATGATGGCAACTCATTGCCCGCTTAGACAACAATGGCCCAAAAGTGTATCAAAAAGACGAAACATATTACATTGAATGTCTCAGTTTCCATCTCTCTCTCTGACATCCATGTTTTCCTTCTTTCTTATCCAGCAGGTGTTGTGCAGTGGAGACAGAACAAAAGGAAAACTTTGAAAACAGCACAGGATGAGATGGTGGAGCAGAACCTCCTGAGTCACAATGGACCAAGGAGGGAAAAGAGAAGCCACAGAAAACGGAAGACAGAAAAATCCATCGTTCCTCAAAGTGGCTTCTTCACTGAGCAAGGAGAACAACCAGAAAACAGAGATGCTTTGAGAACATCCACAAAGGAGAAAACAATTCAAAGGGCAGAGTCTGGAGAAATAAGCAGTGGGAGCAGAAACAATGGAAACAGCCCCACATGCCCTACAGAGGTGAAGCGATTTACTTGTTTGGAGTGTGGAAGGAGCTTCAGGTATCAGAAGCAGTTTGCTGCCCATCAGAAGATTCACACAGGACAGAAATCACATAAATGTGCAGACTGTGGAAAGAGCTTCTGCAGGAAATGGAACCTTAAAGTACATAAAAGAACCCACACAGGGGAGAAGCCTTTTAAATGTTCAAAGTGTGAGAAAAGCTTCACTGACAGCTCAAACCTTACAGTACATAAGAGAACTCACACAGGGGAGAAGCCTTTCAAATGTTCAAAGTGTGAGAAAAGTTTCACTGTGAGCTCAAACCTTGCTGACCATACAAGAACTCACACAGGAGAGAAGCCTTACAAGTGTTTGGAGTGCGATAAATGTTTCGCACACAGCTCACACCTTACAGTACATAAAAGAACTCACACAGGAGAGAAACCCTACAAATGCCCTGTGTGTAGAAAAAGCTTCAGTGAGAGCGGAGGTCTTTCCAGACATACAAGGTCTTGCCATACAGGGGAGAAACTGTACAAGTGTGAACAATGTGGAAAGAGCTTCACCCATAAATCAGACCTCAAGAGGCATCAAGAGCACCACACAAGGGAGACGCCCAACCAGGGTTCAAATCTCAGTGAGAGTTTAGATGATGAATTGAGACCTCATGAAGGTGAGAACGCACAACGGATGGAAACCATGTAACTTCTTCAACTATGCTAAGAAGGTTGCATCCACACAATACTTTTAAAGCTTCCTCCCAGGGAATCCTGGGAACTTCATTTCTTAAGGGAGCGGGCAATTGTAAGTCCATAGACTTACAGTACAAACTACTTTTCCCATCATTCTTTGGATGAAGCCATGGCAACAGTTATAAATGTATGGTGTGAATGTGACCTCAGTCTTGGCACCCATCTTTTTGGCATCACAGGAGCCACCCAGAGGCTACATTCCCCAAACCTTCAAATACACACACATAATCCATGCTTTGAGTGGGTTCTTGGGTCTTTTGAGTGACGAGAACTCATTGCCTCAGGTTTTGTTGTCCAATGGTGTGGATTTCTTGTGACTTTTTTTTAAAAAAAATAGCTTAATCCACACGAAAGAGAAGCATTTTAAATGCTCAAAATGTGAGCAGGGCTTCCAGTTCAACACGCAGCTCAACGCTCACCAGAGAACCCATGAAGTAGGGAAAACATACAAATGCCCAAAATGCAACAAGGACTTTACCTCTCCTTTTGATCTCATTAAACATAACAGGATGTACATTGAAGAAAGACCTCACAAATGCTCAGAAAGCGGAGAGAGCTTCAGGTGCAGCACCTCCCTTATGGCACATCAGAGAATTCATAGAGGAGAGGAGCCAGATTTTGGCCTGAGCCATGCTTCTGAACCAAGTCTTGTTGAACATAATGTAACCCGCCCTGAAAAGAAATGTTTTGTATGTTCCATTTGTTCCAGCACATTTGGGTGCAGCGGAAGCCTTGGGTTACATCAACTGAAGCATAAATAGTAGACATCGCAGAGCTTCTCAGGCTGAAGCAAGACCCTTTTAAAAATATCTAATTAATAAGCACAAGACAATTCCCACTAAATAACCCACAAGTGTGGGGAAAGCTTTTATGATAGTGCATTCATTTCACGTCAGTTGAATCGGCACAAGACAGCAATGGAGAGGCAGAGAAATGTTGCAAATGCTTCTGTTTCTCCATTCTTCTACTTCAGTGTATTTTTCCTGTCATGGTACTTCTTTTTAAATGCATGTTTTACTTGGCACTTGCTTCAATAAGTATTTTAATGTGTTTGCTCTATTCATCAATAAATTTTGTATGTTTTTTATTCCTTTTGCTTCTCTTTTTATTACTCTTGCCTCCTCTCAAGGTTATAGTTTTAAATATGCTACTGCAGTGGGGTTTTTGGTATGGCTTTTCTCATTGCACATGGCTGCACAACCTCTGGGACAGTCTGTATTCCCCAAGCCATGGCTGTCCAGTGATGAAGGAAGGCTAGCCAGCAGTGACGCATGCGTGGCATCGCTATGTATGGCGCATGCGAGTGGAGCCACGCATGTGCTGTACGCAGCGGTTTGCCGCCACTGGTGCTCAAACACCGTATGAATGGAGGCAGGATCCTCCACTTGCAGCTGTAGCAATGGTGAAGGGATCCCACTGCCATCCGTATGGCGCTTGAGCGGCGCCTGTGGCAAACCGCTATGTATGGCACATGCGCAGCACTGCTTGCATGCCCTGTACGGAGAGACCCCATGTATGCCCTGTACGTAGTGACGCCGCACATGTGCCGTACATAGTGGTTTGCCCCCAGCACCACTTGACCACCGTAAGGACACCGGCGGGATCCTCTGCACACGGCTGCAGCGGTGCGATGTACCACCACAGCCAAAGGCGGCAGGGCGAGCACCCTGCGGAGTGCCTTCTGGTCGCCCCCCTCAGACATGGCACCTGGGTGGCACGCGCCCACCCCACCCCCTCCTCCGCCACTGTACCTGTCTAACCATAAACTAGCAGCTAGTGAGCAGGAAGAAAGCGTTTAGTTAAATCATAGGTAGTTCATGGGAGGTAGCTCAAAATCATCAGCACAGGAATGAAACTAAGAGAGGGGACACTGCAGCCCTAGCAGTGCTCACTGTTGGCGCATGATGCATGTCATGCGCCTTGGACACACCTACCACACGCTCCGCCTGTTGGCATGCAGCATCAGCATGGCACAAGTAAATAAATGCATCAGGACCACACCCTATGTTCCTCGTTGCAGAACTGGCAAGGACCCCAAATGCGCACACTTTCCCACAGAGAGATGCCAAAGGACAGCCTATGGAAAGTTCCCTGTGAGAGACGTACAGCTAACAGGGCAGCACAGGCATAAGAGCCTGCTGGATCAGGTCAAAGGCCCACCTAGTCCAGCATCCTCTTTACACAGAGGCCACCCTGATGTCCCAGGGGAAACCTTCAAGCAGGACCTCAGCCCAAGAGGATTCTGGTACAGTAAACCTTGGTTGACGAACGCAATCCGTTCCGGAAGCCCATTCAGCTTCTGAAACATTCAACAACCAAGGGGCAACTTCTGAGTGGTTGCAAGAGCTTCTTGCACACAAGCAGAAATCACACCGGATGTTGGGGTTCTGAAAAATGTTAAAAAACCAGAACTCTTCTGGGTTTTCGGCATTCGGCAGCCGAAACATACAATAATGGAGGCGCTCAGGAACTGTGGTTGGACTGTATTTGAAAGCATTACTGCCTCCAACCATGGGGCAGGGCATAGTAGCCATCAATAGTTTCATCTGTCATAAATGGGTGCAATCCTCTTGGAAAGCCATTGCATGACTGAGCACATGATCCTACCAGTTACTCTAGGCTTCCTATTTGGAGAAGATGCCTAAGGGTTGTTCTCCTGCTTCATCCAACCACTCTGGGAGTACAATGTGAAAATGCTCATCACCTATTTTCCACCCAAACTACACATTATGTTTTTGGTTTCTTTGCTGCATAAACAAACAATTAAGCTAACATTATCAGGGTCAAAATCTTTGTTTAAGAAAACCACAATTTAAACAAAAACAAAAAACAAGAAAGCTATAACTCAAAGTGCAGGAGGGGAAAAGAGGGCATTTCTGTCTTTCTCTATGCTGTTTAATTTCTCTTTTCAGATCCCGCTTCCTCCCTGCGGCAATTGGCTTTGCTGTGAACTCCCAGTTCCCAGCAACCTTTGCACTTCCCACATAAACAATTAACACCTGGCCCCATTTCTCTGAGCAAACACCCAAGTGGGAGAGTGAAGGGGCTTGAGATGAAGAAGGAAATTTTGTTAATTCACCACTGCCTGTCTGAAGGGGTGAGCTGGCCAGTTAAGTACCACTATCTACATGTCCAATGAGATGGCTGAATGCTGCATCATCCTAAGATGGAGGACAATAGCCCAGGCAACAACAAATTGAAAACAAAACAAAACAAAACAAGAAAGCAATAAATCAAAGTGCAGCGGGAAACGAGGATATCTATCTATCTATCATCTATCTATCTATCATCTATCTATCTATCTATCTATTTACTATCTATCTATCTATTTACTATCTATCTATCCTCTATCCATTGCTCCATCTATCTCTGCTGTCTGAGTTCTCTTTTCAGGTCATGCTTCCTCACTCCAACAGTTTGTTTTTCTGTGAACTCCAATTCCCAGCAACCTTTGCACTTCCCACATAAACGATTAACACCTGGCCTCATTTAGCTGAGCAAACACCCAAGTGTTTCTCTTTCTTCTCCTTTGTGGCATTTGAAATGCAGACTTGATCTCACAAGGGGCTGCTGCTCTGGGCCGCGAGTGTAGACCTTCCTCAAGCCTAAGGGGACCTGGGTGAGTCAAAGGGTGACAGCCCTTTGGAAGAATGAGAAAGTGAAAACATGGGATTTCTCATTGTGCAGGAGGAGGAATGTGGGTAGCAAGGAAGGGTGCAGGAGAGAGATTTCTTCCCCTGGGAGGGTGAGATGGGGCGGGGTCCGGAAGGCAGCCTCTTGCCTTTTGTGTTTTTATTAGTTTTTCAATTAGATATTCCACATACACATACACATATTGTATTTCATTTTACATTTATACTTGCTCTTCAAAGCTGACTTGCCTCCTTCTTTCTTCTGGTTTTTTCCTTATACATTTTGCTTCTTATTATTTTCATGATCCATCACTTTTCTTAATCTTTCCCGTTATGAGGTTTGTTTCCAATTCTACTAGTTTTGCTATTTCATCTTTTCTTTCCTATATACAACATAAATTTTTCCCATTCTTTTTGAAATGTTTCCTCACCCTGTTGTCTAATTTTCCCTGTTAGTTTGGCTATTTAGTGATCTATGTGACGGTCATCTCCAGGCTTGACTACTGTAATTCGCTCTACGCGGGGCTGCCCTTGAAGCTGTCCCAGAAACTCCAGCGGGTGCAGAATGCTGCAGCGAGGCACCTCATGTGTTCTCTGCCATGGGAGCATATTCACCCAGTGCTTTTCAAGCTGCACTGGCTCCCGGTGGAGTACAGGGTCAGATTTAAGGTGCTGCTTTTGACCTTTAAAGCCCTTCACGGCCTAGGACCCTCGTACCTACGGGACCGCCTCTCCCGGTATGCCCCACGGAGAGCCTCAAGGTCCATAAATAGCAACACCCTAGTGGTCCCAGGCCCTAAAGAAGTTAGATTGGCTTCAACCAGAGACAGAGCCTTTTCAACTCTGGCTCCAGCCTGGTGGAACGCTCTGCCTCATGAGACCAGGACCCTGCAGGATCTGATTTCTTTCCGCAGGGCCTGTAAGACAGAGTTGTTATGCCTGGCCTTTGGCTTGGAGCCAATTTGATTCCCTCCCTCTCTTTCTTTTTTCTTTTCCTTCTCCTGCGATGAGGCTACATTTTAATATTTTGATGTTTCAATATTTTAATGTATTTTAATTTTGTTTTTAAGTTGTAATCATTCAACTTGTTTTTATTATTGCTTGTTAGCCGCCCTGAGCCCGGCCTTAGCTGGGGAGGGCGGGGTATAAATTATTATTATTATTATTATTATTATTATTATTATTATTATTATTTCTGCATGTTCCATTACCGTTTGTCTCCATTCTTCTACTGTTGGTAATTGCTGCTGTTTCCAAACCTACGCTAACAGTAACCTCGCTGCTTTTGTTGCATAAAAAAACAGTTTCTAGTCGTTCTTAACCAGATATTCTCCTACTATTCCTAACAAGAATGTCTCTGGCTTTTTCAAAAACGTATATCTAAAGATCTTCTTTAGCTCATTGTATATATTTTCCCAGTACATTTTTACCTTATCATATGACCACCGCATGTGAAAGAAATTACCTTTTTTCACCCCACATTTCCAGCAATTCTTGTTTCCTGTTTTGTACATCCTTAACAGTTTAGTTGGAGTGAGGTACCATCTGTACATCATTTTTAACAGATTTTCTTTTAACAAAGTGCATGCTGTGAATTTTAGTCCAGTGTTCCATAGCTTTATCCACTTCTCGTATTCAATGCTATGGCCAACATCCATTGCCCATTTAATCACAATGCTCTTGATTTCTTCGTCTTTTGTGTACCATTCTAATAAAAACTCACAAACCTTTGACAATATTTTTGTGTTGTTTTGTAATACTGCAGTTTCTAATATTGATTTGGTTTGTTCGAAACCTCTTGCTCTTTTATCTTTTGAGAAAATGTCATTCATTTGATGATACTCCATCCAACTTGATAATTTATCTTTTAGTACCTCGTAAGGCCTGATCTTTATTACATTATTTTCTTCTATCAATATGTCTCTCTGTGTTAGCCATACTCCTTTCATATTTAATTTTTTCATAGAGAAGGCTTCTTGGGGTAACAGCCACCATGGTGTTTTCCTTTCAAACCACTCTTTATATCTCTTCCAAACTTCATACAATGATCTTTTTATAATATGATCTAGAAAGTCTCGGTGTACTCCATCCTTGTCATACCAAAGGTACGCGTGCCCCCTGTATCTATTTCCAAACCCCTCTAGATCTAATATGTCTGTGTTCTTCAAACTAAGCCATTCTTTTAACCATGTTATAGAAGCGGCTTCATAATATATTTTAAGATCCCGTAACGAGAAGCCTCCTCTTTCCTTTTTATCCATCAGAAGTTTAAACTTTATTCTAGGTTTCTTCCCTTGCCATACAAACCTAGAAATCATTTTTTGCCACTCATTGAATTGACCTAATCCGGCAACAATAGGCACAGCTTGGAATAAAAAAAAGCATCTTAGGTAAGACACTCATCTTGACAGCTGCTATCCTTCCCCAGAAGGTCACTTTCAATCTGTCCCGTATTTCCAAATTTGTCTTTCTTTCTTTCCATGTTGTTTTATAATTGTCCTTGAATAGGTTTGTGTTTTTTGGGGAGAGCCAGACCCCCAAACATTTTCATTTCTTTACCACTGTTATTTCCGTTTTACTTTGCAGGTGATCTGTTTGTTCCACGTTCATGTTTTTCACCATCATTTTTGTTTTACCCTTATTAATTTTCAATCCTGCCAACATTCCAAATTCTTCAATTACTTTTAATGCTTCCGCTGTCAAAGTTAAAGGTTCTTGTACTGTCAAGACTATATGGTCGGCGAAGGCTTTAACCTTATATTCTTTTCCGCCACACTTTATCCCTGTAATTCTTTCTGTCTCTCTTATATTTACATTTTTCACTAAGGGGGAGCTTGTTTAAGGCAGACCTGCAACCCAGAGCCCACAACGGAATGGAAAAGAGGGACAGGATGTGTATTAGGGCTTCTGCAGGTGGAGGTTGCTACATTTCCTGGAGCAAAGATCAAAAGAGTCTTAGGAGGAAGGAAGGCAGCTCAGTGGTAGAGTGCCTCCCTTACATTCCAAAAGGCGGCACGTTCAATCCCCAGTATCTCCATGTAGGGCTTGGGAGAGGCTTCCTGTATGAAACCCTGGAGAGCAGCTTCCAGTCAGTGTAGACAGTACTGAGCTAAGTGGCCAAAGTTACTATTCTTTTGTGTACATGAAGGAACATGAAGGAAAAGATTCATTTGGGAGCTATTTTCCTAAAACAGTAAGATGGAGAGTGTCTAGTGTACATATGGGACACACAATGTATCCTTTGAAGGCTGAGCTGAACAGGATACTTCTTATGCTTGTAATTCTCTGTATTGCCTGTTTCTCAAGATACCTTGTTTCAAACAATCTACTTTCCTAAATAGGCAAAGGGAAAGAGGCAGACAGTAAATGAAGCAGAAGACGCCCGTGCCTAAGAAGAAGTTTGCAAGGAGCCCAGTTGGACCACAGCCAGGATGATGATGTTTGATACTTGCAAGGAGCCAGACCTGTGCATTGTCTATGGGGAACCCATCAGGCAAAAGCCCATCATCCACAAGAGAACGGGGGGTCAGCAGGAAGCCCACCCAGTTGATGAGGAGGATGAACCCCTTTTTCATGGAGGAAGTTCCAGAGCCTCCTGGAAAATCACAGTACAGACAATTCCTGGTGCTGCTAAGGAGCAGGATGTGTGCATTGTGGGTGAGGAGAACATCTGGCACTACCCCAACACCTGCGAGAGAAATATGTGTTTGCAGAAAATGAGCTCAGGGGAGGGTCCAGTTTACAGCAAAGGAGACTCCAGTGTCCCAAGTAAAACTCCAGCCCAGGGTGTTGTTGATGCCACAGCCAGGATGATGATGCTTGATACTTCTAGGAAGCCAGACCTGTGCATTGTCTATGGGGAACCCATCAGGCCAAAGGCCATCGTCCATAAGAGAACGGAGGGTCAGCAGGAAGCCTACCCAGTTGAGGAGGAGGATGTACACCTTCTTCATGGAGGAAGTTGCAGATCCCCCTGGGAAATCATGTTGGAGACAGTTCCTGGTGCTGCTGTGGAGCAGGATGTGTGCATTGTAGGTGAGGAAAACATCTGGCACAACACCAACAACTGCATAAGAAAGGAGTGGTTGCAGGACACCTACTCAGTGGAGAGTCCCATTCACAGCAAACTAGACTCCAGTGTCCCCAGTGAACCTCCAGCCCAGACTGTTGGTGATGCTGCTAAAGGACAAGACATCTGCATTGTGTATGACCAAGGTGTCCTACAAAAGCACACAGTCCATATCAGAATTGGGTATCCTGAGGAAACACACCCAGGGGAGGATGTAGTTAAACCTATTGCTGGTGGAAGAGATTGGAAAGGCCCCAATGAATCCACCTTCCAGCCTGCTGTTGATGCCACCAAGGAACAAGACTCCTGCATTGTGCATGAGGAAATGGTTAGACAGAAGCCCATTTTTCAAGGAACAGCCCCCAGTGAAGCCACAGCTCAGAGAGATATGGATGCTGGTAAGTAATGGGGCTCCCGGGTAATGCATATTGGGGAGGGAGGTCCCAGGTAGAATTGCTTCTTAGCTCCAGGTCTTAATGACAAGCACACAAGGCTATTTTTGAGGTCATCCCATGCTACACCAACTTACAGTAGACCCACTAAAAGTAATGGACATAGAACCCACTCTATGTAGGTTTTGTTTGCTGGGTAAACTGTACTGCTCTTGAGTTGTATATATTTATATATAAGCCTTGTGCAGAAATTTTTCAATTTCGCTTTGTACTTTTTGTTGTTTTGTTTGTTGTTCACAACTACTTTCCCTATGTTCATAGCCTGCTGCTTTTGCTGTATTGTCTGCTCTTGAGCATTAGAAAAGTTTCAATGCATCAAGAATTAGAAATCTTGATCTAACCTTTTGATGGACAAACAATATAGCTATGCTTCCTAAAGCCAATGTAAGCTTCCACCTGCAGACTGAGAAAATATTTGCTCTCGAGAGTAAAATCTCTACAGGTAGAAATTTGCTGGTGAATCTGAGGCAATGGCAAAACCAGACTCAGGATATTGAGCGGAGTGGAAAGAAAGGTCACCCATGATGGCAACTTACTGCCCGCTAAGACAGCAATGGCCCAAAAGTGTATCAAAAAGACAAAACATATTACATTGAATGTCTCAGTTTCCATCTCTCTCTCTGACATCCATGTTTTCCTTCTCTCTTATCCAGCAGGTGTTTTGCAGTGGAGACAGAACAAAGGGAAAACTTTGAAAAAAGCACAGGATGAGATGGTGGAGCAGAACCTCCTGAGTCACGATGGACCAAGGAGGCAAAAGAGAAGCCACAGAAAACGGAAGACAGACAAATCCATCGTTTCTCAAAGTGGCTTCTTCACTGAGCAAGGAGAACAACCAGAAAACAGAGATGCTTTGAGAACATCCAAAAAGGAGAAAACAATTCAAACGGCAGAATCTGGAGAAATAAGCAGTGGGAGCAGAAATAATGGAAACAGCCCCACATGCCCTACAGAGGTGAAGCGATTTACTTGTTTGGAGTGTGGAAGGAGCTTCTGCAGGAAATGGAACCTTAAAGTACATAAAAGAACCCACACAGGGGAGAAGCCGTACAAATGTTTGGAGTGCGATAAAAGCTTCACTTACAGCTCACACCTTACTAGACATCAAAGAACTCACACAGGGGAGAAGCCGTACAAATGTTTGGAGTGCGATAAAAGCTTCACTTACCGCTCACACCTTACTAGACATCAAAGAACTCACACAGGGGAGAAGCCTTTCAAATGTTCAAAGTGTGCGAAAAGCTTTACTGCGAACTCAAACCTTACAGAACATATAAGAACTCACACAGGGGAGAAACCTTTCAAATGTTCAGTCTGTAATAAATGTTTTGCTAAGATGTCAAACCTTACTAGACATCAGAGGATTCACAGAAGGGAAAGACCCCATAAATGCTCAGTGTGTGGTAAGTGCTTCAGTCAGAAATCAAATCTTACTAAATATCTAAAACTTCACAGGAGGAAGACACCTTTTAAGTTATCACTGGGTAGAAAAAGGTTTAGTAAGAGCTCAAATCTTCTTAGTCAACAGATAATTCGCAAAAAAAAGTATAAATGTTCAGCTTGCAGGAAAAACTATACTAAGTGGTCATACCTTACCAAACATAAAAGAATACCACAGAAAGCAGAGAAACCTTATAAATGCTCAGGGTGTAGAAAATGTTTCAGCAACAGGTCAGTCCTTACTAGACATAAGAGAATCATACACAGATGGAACAAAGTCTATGTATGTTCCAAGTGCAGTCAATGTTTCCGTTCAAGGAGACTTTTTATTACACATCAAAGAACCCACACAGCACAGAAACCTTTTCAATGCTCAGAGTGTAGAAAAGCCTTTAGTCAGGAGGCAAATCTCCTTAGACATCAAAGAACTCACACAACAGAGAAACCCTACAAATGCCCGGTGTGTACAAAAAGCTTCAGTGAGAGTGCAGGTCTTTCCAGACATACAAGGTCTTGCCATACAGGGGAGAAACTGTACAAGTGTGAACAATGTGGAAAGAGCTTCACCCGTAACTCAGACTTCAAGAGGCATCGAAAGCATCACACAAGGGAGACGCCCAACCAGGGTTCAAATCTCAGTGAGAGTTTAAATGATGAATCGAGACCTCATGAAGGTGAGAACGCACAGCGGATGGAAACCATGTAACTTCTTCAACTATGCTAAGAAGGTCGCATCCATACAATACTCTTAAAGCTTCCCCCCAAGGAATCCTGGGAACTTCAGTTCTTAAGGGTGCTGGCAATTGTAGGTCTATGAAGTACAAACTACTTTTCCCATCATTCTTTGGATGAAGCCATGGCAACAGTTATAAATGTATGGTGTGAATGTGACCTCAGTCTCAGCATCCATCTTTTTGGCATCACTGGAGCCACCCAGAGGCTACATTCTACAAACCTTCAAATACACACACATAATCCATGCTTTGAGTGGGTTCTTGGGTCTTTTTAGTTGCCTCAGGCTTTGTTGTCCATTTGTGGTGTGGATTCCATGTGACTTTTTAAAAAAAAAACCTTAATTGAGGGCTCCTCTGCTCATACAGCTGAATTAACCATATTGGGGATAACTGAGGCGATTATTTAGGGTCTTGAGTCCATAGAGAAGGAGAGACCTGAGGAAGGACGGGAAAGTTTGAGAGGCTTCAGCGAGTTACCCATCATCCGCCTGAAATGTAAAACTGGTACTGTAGCTGCTTCTGCTTTTTAGTTTTGTTGTGAGACTACCTGAATAATAAAGTTGTGTGTATTTTAAGCTTTGTACTCTTCTGTTTTCACTGGCTCCTTGGAACAAAAACGGATGCAGGTTTCCAATTTAGGTTGCAGTTTCCTGCACACTTAGTCAACATCTGCTCCATGCAGTGAAAGCACTGTCATGACTTCCCCTAAAGAATTCTGGGAGCTGTAGATTATTAAGGGTGCTGAGGGGTGTTAGGGGAGGCCCCTATTCTCCTCACAGAGCTACAGCTCCCAGAGTTCCTAGGGAAGAGAGGCTGATAGTTAAACCACTCTGTCTATAATAATAATAATAATAATAATAATTTATTATTTATACCCCGCCCATCTGGCTGGGCTTCCCCGGCCACTCTGGGCGGCTTCCAAAAGAATATTAAAATACTATAATACATCAAACATTAAAAGCTTCCCGAAACAGGGCTGCCTTCAGATGTCTTCTAAAAGCCTGGTAGTTGTTGTTCTCTTTGACATCTGGTGGGAGGGTGTTCCACAGGGAAGGCGCCACTACCGAGAAGGCCCTCTGCCTGGTTCCCTGTAACTTGGCTTCTCGCAGTGAGGGAACCGCCAGAAGGCCCTCAGTGCTGGACCTCAGTGTCCGGGTAGAACGATGGGGGAGACACTCAAAGAACCCTTAAACGTTTTTGTTGTTTAGTTGTGTCCGACTCTTTGTGACCCCATGGACCAGAGCACGCCAGGCACTCCTGTCTTCCACTGCCTCCCACAGTTTGGTCAAACTCATGTTAGTAGCTTTGAGAACACTGTTCAACCAGCTTGTCCTCAATCTTTCCCAACATCAGGGTCTTTTCCAGGGAGTCTTCTCTTCTCATGAGGTGGCCAAAGTATTGGAGCCTCAGCTTCATGATCTGTCCTTTCAGTGACCACTCAGGACTGATTTCCTTCAGAATGGATAGGTTTGATCTTCTTGCAGTCCATGGGGCTCTCAAGAGTCTCCTCCAGCAACATAATTCAGAAGCATCAATTCTTCGGCGATCAGCCTTCTTTATGGTCCAGCTCTCACTTCCATACATCACTACTGGGAAAACCATAGCTTTAACTATATGGACCTATGGCGGCAAAGTGATGTCTCTGCTTTTTAAGATGTTGCCTAGGTTTGTCATCGCTTTTCTTCCAAGAAGCGGGTGTCTTAATTTCATGACTGCTGTCACCATCTGCAGTGATCATGGAGCCCAAGAAAGTAAAATCTCTCACTGCCTCCATTTCTTCCCCTTCTATTTGCCAGGAGGTGATGGGACCAGTGGCCATGATCTTCGTTTTTTTGATGTTGAGCTTCAGACCATATTTTGCGCTCTCCTCTTTCACCCTCATTAAAAGGTTATTTAATTCCTCCTCACTTTCTGCCATCAAAGTTGTGCATAGCTGTCAACGTTTCCCTTTTTTTAAGGGAAATTCCCTTCTTACGAATAGGATTCCTAGCAAGAAAAGGGAAAAGTTGAGAGCTATGAAGTTGTGTCATCTGCATATCTGAGGTTATCTTAATTCCGGCTTGGGATTCATTCAGTCCAACCTTTCGCATGATGAATTCTGCATATAAGTTAAATAAACAGGGAGACAATATACAGCCTTGTCGTACTCCTTTCCCAATTTTGAACCAATCAGATGACAGGCGCTCCGAGCCCCAAAAACCCATCCCTCATGGAAATACAGACAGAGTGGAGACAGAATTTAGTTTAAATGTTAATGGGCAAATTTTGGCCACAACTTTATTGAATACACAAATGTGACTGGTATTGACTTAGGCATTGGTATCAAAACTATAACTGGCTCCTGCCCCACCCTGCAGGAAACCTGTAAGGGTAAACAACCAGCAGGGGGATCTCCGTCAGTGTATATTGACTGGTGCTCACCCTCGGGTTCCCAGGGGTCCTGGCATGGCCCTAGCCCCTCTCCAGGCTTCGGACGAGATCCAGACCCCTGGATTCCTGTAACGGAATACCCTATTCATTGGAGGGGCAGGTGATGGCCACACCTCCCCTCCCCACATTCCCTAAACCAATGCTTAACTGCCACATGAGCCAATCGCTCGCCGCCAATACTGTCACTCCCGCAACCAATCTAATAAACTTTTTTCAATTCCAGCGAGCCATACATCACTACCGCCATCCGACAGGTGCACGCCATCCGCCCTAAACAGGGCCGCATTTCTGAAAATAACATCTGGGTGGGGAATCAGCCTGCCACCAGCAAGCACCTTCCCCACGCCTTCTGGCTTTGTCCATAGCAGCTGGGCACACACTCCCGCGCCAAGCGCGCCTTGAAAGGAGCTGTAACCAAAAAATGGTTGGACCCTCGCTAGCTCCTCCAAGTACTTCATATTTTCTTTTCTTTTATTTATTTTGGTTTAAGGTTAATATAATGCGAGTCCATAAGTCCAAGCCTTTTAACAAAGGCAGGTCATTTTCGCCCAGCTGCACAACTAAGGCAGAAGGTGGGCCCCACAAGAGGCAACAGTTCATCCCAGCGCATTCTGGGCCTGGACAGCTAGGAAGCTCTCACTTGTCTTGGGAGGTGAAGCTGGAGACCCACACCAGACTCAACAGCCCGTACGCTGGCCCAGGTCATTCTCCCCCAATTGGATCACAAGTGCAGAAGGCAGTCCCCAAGCCACCGCCTTAGCTATTCCACCTGGGGAGCAAACCCGCAAACCTGGCACCACCAGCACCAAGCTCCAACCAACTGAGATATCCCTTGATCTCAAGCCAAGGAATAAAACCATACTCACGGCCAGGTAAATTATATAGAATAAGGCAACAATTAATTAAAGGTGTACTTCACCCAAGTGTAACCCCATTAAGCACAATTAGTGCCGGCAGGTCCTAAAAATCACTAAATATAGGTCTTGAAGCTGCTGGTAAAATTGAATTAAAACCCAAACCCCTAATTCCAATAACTGATAATCCCTAAACAGTACAGTGAAAAGAGGTGGATCAACGGCCTCGTCACTGGTCGCAGAAAAACTGGAAGCCCTGGCCCCAGAGACAGGTATAATGATCTGGGAAGGCAGTAAACCTTCAGCCTGAACCAACCCTCGTGGTTGACTCAGTAAAAGGATAAAACCAACTTTGCAAGGGAATTGAATTGGCATAAAAGTTTGTACACCTATTTACAGGCGGTGTCGTGGAATCAAAGATCTCCCTGCCACAGTTTGTTTGCTGCCAGGGGAAGATGCTCCATTTGGGCAAAGCAGGGCAGTGCCTAACCTTCAGTCTGACTTTTGCCAAACCCCACCTGCCTACTTTCTTGCTTACAACCAGTCCAGGGGGCGGGGAGTGGCATTGCTCATCAGCTTCCACCAACTGAGTCTCAGCTGTTGCCCTTCCACAGCCCTGCAAGGAAAAGGAGGGGGACAAAACTAGAAAGTAGTTGGCTCTACCGCCACCTGCTGTTGGACTCCCTGCCTTCTGCCCCAGTGGGCACCAGCCAAAGCTGCTTGCTGGGAACTGCAATCCCCAGCAGCCTTTGCTAATCCCACTGAAATCACCAACAGCTGGCACCATTTATCTGAGCAGATGAACAGCTGGGAGGGAGGAGGATACAGGAGGTCAGTCATAAATTCACCACCACCACCTGCCTACAATGTGTGGGGTTTGAAGCTACCTAGAGGTGAGGGGAAAACTCAGTGGGTTCTAAATGGGGTTTTCCTGTTTCTGCTCTATGTTCCTTCCTGGAAATTGATCCTCTGGCTTCAAATTGTACTCCTGTAGTAGCTGCTATTTGGGGGCTGGTTTCTAGAGCTTCCTTGGTTCTAAAGAGATCTAGGTGAATTAAAGGAACCTTTTTTCTTCCTTCAGGGGAAAAAAGAGAGAAGCTGAAATCAGGAGATTCTCGATTGTAGAGGAAGAACTTTGGGAGACAGAGATTTATTCCCAGGATTGGGTAAGCGAAGGGAGTTGGTTTGCTGCCTCCTGCATTCAGTATTTTATAGACTACTTTTGCAGGAATGTGATTCTTTTTTAAGGCAGATTCTTTTTTAAAAAAAAAATATGTGTAAACTGCCTTCGATTCCTGGTTTGAAGAAAAAGTCAGGATAATGATGATGACAATAATAAATGCACATTGGATGCATGGTGTGGTTCTGCAGCTTGAGCTTAAATAGCCTGGAGAAACTGCTTGATCATCTGCAAGAACTGCCAGCCTCTGTTAGGAGGGCAGTGTAGACAGAAGGTTGTAATGGAGAAAATAGGTGGGGTGACATTGTAGCATCTGGAGAAAGTGCCATTAACTCAGTGCTCTTCCTAATTTCTAATAGCTGTGCTGGAGATCCATGGAAGATGGAAAGCTCCTGGATCCTGTCTTGCGGGGTGAGCTGGAAGGTAGGGGGCACCTCCATTACCATTTACTCCTGTGTTGTAAGAAAAACCTGCTCCTTTTTCCTTATGGGGTATTCTGGAGCCTGTA